CGAGTTCGCGGGGCACCCAAATGCCTCGCCTCTGCAGGTCGTCGGTACGTGTGGCGGCCGACCCTCCTTGTACTTGCTCGCGGCAATCCCCCGCGCTACACAGCGCGTTGATTGTTCTATTGTCCCCGGCCCCGCTTGTCCCCTGCTGTCCGCCATGACAACTTGATGCCTAGTTCACGCTGGGGGTCCCGTCGTCTTCGAAGGCGCAAGTCTTTGTGACAAAAATGGCTGGACGTTGTAGGATGGCCGTGATCAGCTCTGCACCAGCGGAAGAACCCCTCGACTATACCACTTTCGTCCATACTCCTCCGACCTCCTCTCGCGTGTTAGACAGTCCATGCTCACAATGCAACCTACAGGTCCGCCAACTCGCGGCTGTCGAGCTCCGAAAACGCATCTCCCAAAATTCCGGTGACCTCTGGCTCCAGCTCGATACGAACCAGCGTGAACAGATCAAGACGAAGCTCCCGGAGATCGTTCTCTCAGAAACGAAGTACGCGCCACCGTATATCCATCTCCCTCTATTCAAGCTGACACCCTTGCAGCAACCTTGTCCGCCATTCGACCGCCCGCGTGATCGCTGCGATCGCGTCCATCGAGATGCCCCTCGGCACTTGGCCGCAGCTCCTCCCCTTCCTCGAGCAAACGTGTCTGTCACCGCAGGCCGCGCACCGCGAAGTTGGCATCTACATCCTGTATACCGTGCTCGAGAACATCGTCGAGGGCTTCGAGTCGCATCTCCAGAGCTTCTTCAAGCTCTTCGAGAAGCTCCTCGGTGACCCTGAGAGTGCGGAGGTTCGCATTACGACCGTTCGGTGAGTTTGGAGACGTGAGTCGGTTCCGAAATATAGACTGACTGTGGGGTACAGGGCGCTTGGCGTTGTCGCACAGTACATTGACTCTGATGACAAGGATGACATCGTAAGTGCATTGCGCAGGAGTGCGCATAGGACATCAACTGACGATCGTCGCTCCCGTAGAGGGCCTTCCAAAATCTCCTGCCTGGCATGATCGAGGTCATCGGCCAGTGCCTCCAGGACAGCAACGAGACTGGCGCCCGCCAGCTTTTCGATGTCCTCGAGACTCTCCTCATCCTCGAGGTTCCTCTCCTCAGCCAGCATATCCCCCAGCTCGCCGAGTTCCTCCTCCGTTGCGGTGCCAACCGCGCTTACGAGTCCGACCTCCGCGTCCTTGCCCTTAACGCGCTCAACTGGACCATCCAGTAGTAAGTGTCGATCGGTTCCTCGTTATATGCGTGCTTATTGACTTTGTGATGCTTCTAGCAAAAAGTCGAAGGTCCAGTCCCACAACCTTGCGCCTGCGATCCTCGAGGGTCTCATGCCCATCACGACCGAGGAGGAGCCCGAGGACATTGACGACGATGCTCCTTCACGCTCTGCTCTCCGCATCGTCGACTGCCTTGCCACCAGCCTGCCCCCCACCCAGGTCTTCCCCGCCCTCCGTCAGCTTATTCAGCAGTACTTCTCCTCTAGCGACGCCGCCCACCGTCGCGGCGCCATGCTTGCGCTCGGTGTCTCCGTTGAGGGTTGCAGCGAGTTCATGACCCCGCTCATGAACCAGGTGTGGCCCATCATTGAGGCAGGTCTCCAGGACCAGGACGCCTCTGTCCGCAAGGCGAGCTGCGTCGCTGTCAGCTGCCTGTGCGAGTGGCTCGAGGACGAGTGCGCGGCGAAGCACGCCTTCCTCGTCCCGACGATGATGCAGCTTGTGAACGATCCTTTCACCCAGCGCACGGCGTGCACTGCGCTCGACGCGCTCCTTGAGATCATGCACGACGTGATCGACCAGTACCTCAACCTCATCATGGAGCGCCTCGTTGGCCTGCTTGAGACCGCGCCGATACCCGTCAAGTCCGTCGTCATCGGCGCGATCGGCAGCGCGGCGCATGCGTCCAAGGACAAGTTCTTGCCGTACTTCGCGCCGACGATGGAGCGCTTCAAGCACTTCCTCGTGCTCACCGGCGAGGGCGAGGAGCAGGAGCTCCGCGGCATCACGATGGACGCGGTCGGCACGTTCGCTGAGGCGGTCGGCAAGGACGTCTTCCGCCCGTACTTTGCGGACATGATGAAGCAGGCGTTCAACGGGATCGAACTCGGCAGCCCGCGCCTGCGCGAGTGCAGCTTCCTCTTCTTCGGCGTCATGTCGCGCGTGTTCGGCGACGAGTTCGCCCCGTACCTGCCCAACGTCGTTCCCGCGCTCATCTCGTCCTGCAAGCAGCTGGAGCACGGCGAGGAGGAGCGCCTCACGGTGTCGAACCCCGAGGTCGCGGCGAGCTTCGCGTCGGGCTCGTCCCGCGCGAACGCGATCGCCATCACCGACGAGGCGCAGGTCGCGATCGACGACGACGACAACCTCGACATGGACCAGCTCCTCGACGTCAACAGCACGATCTGCATCGAGAAGGAGATCGCGGCGGACACGATCGGCACGATCTTCCTGGCCACCCGTCAGCACTTCCTGCCGTACGTCGAGCAGTGCACAATTGAGCTCGTCGGCCTGCTCCCGCACTATTACGACGGCATCCGCAAGAGCGCTACGGATTCGCTCCTCGAGATCATTCGCGTGTTCTACGACCTCAGCGAGCCTCAGGAGTGGCAGCCTGGCTTCGCCGTGAGTATCCCATGCTACGCCGTGTATTCCACGACACTGACCTCGTGTACAGAACATTGTGCCCCTCGACCCCCGCGTCAAGGAGCTCATCGGCCACATCATCCCGCCCCTGCTCGAGATGTACGAGTCTGAGGACAACAAGTGCGTATCGATCTCCTGTTCCTCTTGTCGTCCATTCCGGCCTGCGCCGCATGGGATGATATCTTTTACTCAGCTCACTTCGACGCCCAAAGGGCGGATGAGACTACTTTCACTCTCTTTCCACTGATGCTTCTTTGTTCAAAATATTTGTTTGGGTGCAGTCGCTGACCGCGCCTTGCGGTTTACAGGAAGGTTGTATCTAGCCTTTGCGTTGGTCTTGCGGAGACGACCACGAAGCTCGGCCCCGCGTTCCTTGAAGGCCGTAAGTTCTCTCACGAGGCCATGTATCCCTGGTACTGACGATCGAGGATAGGCCTCGAGCACTTCGCCAACATTGCCATCCAGGTCCTTGAGCAGAAGGCGATCTGCCAGCAGGATCCTGACCAGGACGAGTCTGATGATGCGCCCGAGGACTCGGCTGAGTACGACTCCATCCTCATCTCCTCTGCTGGTGACCTCGTTGCTGCCCTGGCGACCGCCCTCGGCCCCGAGTTTGCCAGCGGCTTCGAGAAGTTCTTCCCTCTTATCTCCAAGTACTACGTAAGTCCTCTTGCAAGATGACCTGGTCGCGGGCACTGACTATGTCCCACAGAAAAAGAACCGGTCTCTCAGCGATCGCTCCTCTGCCATCGGCTGCCTGTCTGAGATCATCGGCGGCATGAAGAACGCCATCACGCCTTGGACCGAGCCTCTCATGGATCTCTTCTACCGCGCACTGAGCGACGAGGAGCCCGAAGTGCAGTGCAACGCCGCGTTCGCGTCCGGTCTGCTCATTGAGCACTCCGACGTCGACCTCTCCCCCCAGTACCTTCACCTCCTCGCTGCCCTCCGCCCGCTCTTCGTCGTCGCGCCCGAGGCGCCCGCTGCGAAGCTCAACGCGCGCGACAATGCCGTCGGCGCCGTCGCCCGCATGCTCGTCAAGAACACCGCCGCGATGCCCCTCGACCAGGTCCTCCCCGTCTTCTTCGATGCGCTTCCGCTCCGGAACGACTTCCTCGAGAACCGCCCGGTCTTCCGTGCCATCTTCCACCTCTTCAAGACGCAGCCCGCTCTCCTCGCGCCGTACCTGGACAAGCTGCTCCACGTCTTCGCGTTCGTGCTCGACCCCACTGGCCCCGATATGGTTGGCGACGAGATTCGTGCGGAGCTCATCGGCCTCATCGGTGTGCTGAACCGCGAGGAGCCCGCGAAGGTGCAGGCCGCCGGTCTCACCCCGTTCGTTCCCGGGCAGTAAATGACGAGAAGAGAGAAGAAGCGAGAAGCATATAGGAATGTCTGGATGAAAGAAGCGGAATGTCGATAATAGTGTTTTCCTCGCCACGGGTCTGCTTTATGATGATTAATGTTGTGCAACGCTATCGGATCCACGATTTACGGTGCTAGTTTTCCCATCCTCCTCTACCCTCCTTGTCTCTCATACGGTACCCATTCCTCACCTACACAATACTGATCCATCTAGACTATGTTGATTTTTGTTTCCACGGTCAATACCCACTCACGTTCCGCGTGTCCGCAGACTGAGTACGCGAAATCTTGTCCGGACTCCTTGACGTCCACGATGCGCTGTGTTCACTTGAAGATACCTTCCTCGGGACAGCTATGATGCCGTCGTATTGATGTCCACCGCATCTGCGAGATTCCTCGTCAGGAATGCACGAAGACCAGCCACAGCCGAGTTGGGATGTCTTCCAGAGTCCGTGGCTAGCATCCCAGCCCGCGCTACTAATCGGGACAGGCTGAGCATCCTAGGTATGCAGCTTGTAGACGTACCGGGCGAAAGGATGCTGGTGCACTTCGGAGAAAGCTCCGGTGGTTGGCGTCGGTTGCACTCGGAGTGACGTCGCAACACGGCTTGTACAATCCAAGCTGAATAGAATTCTCTGCAGGGTGTATGAGCGTCTTCATGAGGGCAAGAGGCTAGCACGGAACGCACGCAGTACCATGCAAGTTGGCGGAGTTGAGGTGTCGTCGGTAACGAATAGATCTGCCGGGATGAGGGGCAAAAATGACCACCGCAGGGGTCGAACCTGCAATCTCCTGATTCGTAGTCAGACCCGATGCCATTTCGCCAGGCGGCCGTTATAAAGGGGCCTATGTGAGCCTCAATAACGCGGTCTCCGCCTCCGCAATGAACAAATCGGCCGGACTGGAAACACAGGTCAATTGTCGGCCTCGTAAAGCACTAGAATAGCACGGGAATGACGAGAAATCAGCAAAAACAATTGACTTGACGAGAGTGGGATTCGAACCCACGCCCTTTCGGACCAGATAAGCTTACCATGGAATGCTTCCACACACCTTAGTCTGGCGCCTTAGACCGCTCGGCCATCTCGCCTGTAGGCTGGCGACAGGGGGCTATAGTATCAGTCAAGCCGTGACACTGCAGCTACGCAGAACTTACGGCGGGTTCGATGCGGGTTTTGACTGCAAGTTCCCCATAGTGGAAGAAGTTATGAAGTGCAAGACTAGAATCAGTGAAGAGCTAGTAGCGGGAGGGAGAGGTGCGAACGCCGAAGTGAGAGTCTTGGCAGGAGAGGTTGCATGCCAAGTCGTGCGAGGATATGAGGCAGAGCGGGAATCGTTGGCGACAGGGCGACCTGGTATATATACGTCCGTGAGTGACCTGAGTGAAGGGGTGAAGGGCGGGAGACAATCCACATACGGTAGGAGCGCTGCCTTTTCGAGAACAGGACTGCCGATGGTCTCCCGCTGCTCGTCATGAATTCATCAGAAGGCTGGAGTACGGACGTCATGAGAAGCAGGTGTACCTCGGCGGTTTCTAGCTCACCTTACGATCGCGAGTACTCCTCTCCGCTTACCGGCTCGTTCTGGGATTGAACAAATCCGGACGGCCGACTCCATACATGTTCGTGTGCTCTGATACAGAACAGAATCAATGGGAGTGACAGGGGGAGTTAGCGCGACTAGTCAGCGCGGCACGGGCGAGCGGCGTAACCTTTGCTATTATCTGCAGTATACCTTGATTTTGTAGTGAGAAGGGCTCGGAGCAATGACTGCGCCTCCCACAATTTCCACAACTGGGGACGTCTCGGTCGGGAACAAACTCTTCACCTGTCTCCACCGACACTCGGTATATAGGCTGCAACGCTGCGTAGGATGAATTGTGTTTATCAGTCCTCGACTCGGCGAGACTCGAGTAGAGTAGGTCAGAAGTCTCTTACCTCCAGATGCGGATGTGAACTCGGGGTAGTATCTAAGTCTGTCATATACATGTACGCAAGCACCACGCGGTTATGAAACTATCCTGCCTGCTTGCTATTCTGTGTCGACCTCAGCTGTCTCGCGTCAGTAGGAATCGTCCACTGGGACTAGTATACTAAGAGTCCCTGTGTAATCCGCGTTACCGACAGTCAGGCAGTAACTGTCAAGGCGTTGAACGTTGACGTTGAGTGGCGATCAGGCACTGATCGCAGACCTGATCATAATAGTGCTGGAACTTACCGAATGAAGTCGGGCCCCTACCCGAGCGGGGTAGTTGACCCTGTTCTTGAAATACACAGGGATGCCGCCAGTGACGCGTCGACGCGGCGGGGGGTATTCAGGGCCTACGCGGGAACGCCGCTCTGGTGAATGCTCCCTACGACGCGTCGAAACTGAGGACGACAGTCTGCGATAGAGGTGAGCCTCAGAGAGGCGCCTGTATAGCGTTCAGTACTCAGTCATCTATGAAAAGCCAACTCGACCACAATATTAGGTTCAGGACCGCGACCATAAGGACGCGCATGGAATTCGCGGTCAAAGGACACACATCGATCCTGCTGCAGAGACGATCAACGGCCGATATGAGCTGCTCTGGGAGTCTGACAACGCTCTGCTGACTTCACCACTGCAAGAATAGCAGACGAGGGCAAGTCGTCGACGCGCGTCTGAGATGGCGTCGACGGCAGCCTGGAAATCCATTTCCAACTCCAGCAGCGGGCAGGCCGACTGCGTCGGGCGACATCGACCCTCGCAGACGTTCGCGCGCATTCGCTCGCGGCCATCGCCTGCCCGTCCTCCGCATAAAAGGTGGGGGTGGCGACCGCGACCCTCAGACTCCAACTCCCCCTCCTCGCACGCCCAACCAGCTCAGCCTAACCTCCCGGTCCTACCTCGCGCATTTCATCCACAATGGTGCTCGTCATCCACGGCAACGTCATGTCGACGTGCACGAACCGCGTGCGGATCGTGCTCGAGGAACTCGGCGTCCCGTACGAGATCGTGACGGTCGACTTCGCGAAGCACGAGCAGCGCTCGCCCGAGTATAAGGCCGTGCAGCCGTTCGGGCAGGTGCCGTACATCGACGACGACGGCTTCAAGCTGTTCGAGAGCCGCGCGATCGCGCGCTACGCCGCGCTCAAGTACGGCGGCGTCGGCAAGCTCATCCCGGACCCGAAGGATATCCAGAAGACCGCGCTGTTCGAGCAGGCGGCGAGCATTGAGCTCACCAACTTTGATCCCTTCGCGGCGGGCCTCGCGTGGGAGAACGTCTTCAAGCCGTAAGCGTAGCTCGTTTGCTGGTTGTGGGACGGCTGAATGCTCAACTGTTGCTTGCAGGATGTTCGGTCAGCCGACGGACACGGCGAGGGTGGAGACCCTGAAGAGCACGCTCGAGGCCAAGCTGGCCGCCTACGATGTACTGCTGGGCAGGACTAAGTACCTTGCCGGTAATGTGCGTATCATAGACGATGAAGATAGCTCGCAGATGCTGACAAAAGACTGCAGGAGCTCACCATGGTCGACCTCTTCCACATCCCCTACGGCGCGCTCCTGGAGAAGCAGGGTATCGACTTCTTGACCTCCGGCCGCTTCCCCAACGTCGCGAGGTAAGCAGTCGGTTGTCTTAAGTTGCCGTGGGCTATGCTGAATAGGACTGAAATCAGGTGGTGGAAGGACATCTCCTCCCGCGAGTCGTGGAAGAAGATCAACTCTGCGTGAATGCATTCCCATCACGGCTGTACTTGTAGTTCTGCGGACTTGTTGAATCAGTAGGATATATACTTGTTTATCTATCAGTTCAAGTAGATCCGTAAGACACTCGCGAACGAGTCGCGATGGAGGACGTATGCTTGCGGAATGGGCGGAGTAATATGCAGATGGTGAGCATTCGCGTGCAAGAAGTCTCAGGTACTCCGGCGCCTAATCTTCAGCCCAAGCCCGGCAAAGCCCGACCTACTTGGATAGCGCCGTCACCGTGACGCCCAACTGCCAACTGGTAATCCCGAACACTGGTGCAGCCTCAAACAGAGAAATGTGCGTGGCATCCCTGAGGCAGCCCACGCAGGTCTTTGGAGGTCTATCTCTTCCAGATATTGGGTCTCGGACGACTGACTTGACGTACCAGACAGTACTGTATGGCCTAGCACTGTCGCCACCGAGCCATCGCCTTGTTACGTTCAGGTAGACGCATACCGTCAAGTATCCACGTTCTCTTCCTGATCATGGCGACGCACGCAGGCTCTAGAGGCGCAAGAGAGAGCTCACAACGAGCTGGATGCCGTCGTACTAGGTCCAGACCGTCCACCTACTCGGTGAACGAGCTGATCAAGAGGCAATTGAATCTCGCCAAGTAGCGTCGCACGTCGCTCGGCTGAGGACTCTACGCACGATGCGTACTGACCTTTGCGGGTATATTACGTTCGCCAACGCTTGAGCAGTCGTCCGGTCTGACAAGCATTGCGGTATTGACGGACAACTCCTGCAGGGCCATGGCTCGCGACCAGTCAGCATACCCAAATCCAGCGCGTTGTCCCCAGACCGCTTCTTCAGCATGGGAAGATGAGTCCGAACGTGCGCGACCCAACGTCCTCCTTGCTGCGGCTTGGACGAAGGTGCGCTTCTTTGACATCGCGAGCGGCCATAGTAGGACATCTTTGCCACAGCATCCGTCCAGGCTTCGCAGGTTGCCCGAAAGGAGACCGGAGTTCCGAAACTCTACCGCCAGCCTGAGCAGAGTAGTTCCAAACCTACCCTCTTTTCGGGCGAGCACAGTCTGTGGAATCACTCTCAGCATGTTTGCAGTATGAGCGCGCGTTTAGCCGCCGCCCGCCACCTTACCGCTCGCTCCCAGACTCGCGACATGGTGGGGAGTTATACAGTGACTGTACTCGGAGCCGTGCTTCTTCAATTTGAGCGTGTCGCACGTAAAGTTTTGGCGCATGCTACAGATGCGGTACTGTTCCTCCACGCTTCGTCCGTGAAGTCTGTCTGCTTATGCAATCAGGACGTATGACCGAGGTTCCGTGAACCACGCGCGATGGGTTACAACGCTCTCAGCCGTCCTTCCCTCCCGCCCGGAGCAAACCTAACATCCCTCTCGTGATACTGTTTCGAAGCCCATCCCCTGAGCACATACGGAGAGCGGAAGAGAGAGGTTCTCATTTACCAACAGGCCTAGGCAGCGGGTGTTGGAGTCACGAAGTATTCTTCGCCCATCTGGGCCTATTCTGTCGCTCAGCTCCCAGCCGCACCTTGAACGGTTTCCACGGATGCTGAGGGCATGCGAGTGGGTCTCGGTGTCCACTCAATAGCAGTAGTCCCGGACCGCCCGCGAAGCCACATTGGCAAAGGTACGTCCTCTTCATATCCTTGGGAGTTCGTACGGCTGACCTCTCGCTCCCAGCACTCTAGACCGAGAGGCCTACCAAAAAGGGTTCCCAAGCTTCGGTAGTCGCTATAGACTGGAAAGCACCCCGCCGTTGCATTGTAGCCCCGTAGCATGTGGTCCTCTTTGCTTCAGAAGTCTCAGGGCAGTGCTCAAATGGTGTAGAAGCGCGCCATTTACGTGGTACGGCGGATCCCGACACCATTTCGGGGCGTCCGTACACTGGCATATTCTGCAGTTGACTCTACCTGGGGACCGCGCGTTTTGCTTCACGGTCCGGGGTACATGTGGGACTGCGATAGGTAAGCCTCGCGTCTCTCGGAGCACTGAGAAGTATTTAATGCTCGCTATTGCGCTCAAACCCTCAGGTCCTCAACCACACGCGTCGCGGCAATCACAGTACTCACACACTCTCAACTACAATGCGCTGCTCTTTCATTGCTCTCACCATTGCGCTCTTCGGCCAAGCCGTCGTGGCCAGTCCCGCCGTTGCCTCAGACCCGTCCGTTGATGCATCCTCCCTCGCGGCATCCTTCCCCGTCTCCGAGCTGCGCTTCTCCGACGCCAAACCCCACGCGAACCTCACCCTCTCGCAAGACGACTTCCACATAATTGCCAAGAGACAGGAGTTCCCCGCGACTCTCCTCATCTGCGCCGTGGCCAACTGCGCTTCTAACTGCCAGGCCCTCAACCTCGCCCTCTTCACCGAGGGTTTGTGCTTCCCTACATCG